TWAWTWAWTKRWTTTGATTAATTGATTTAATGARTTGAGCTTGGTATCTCTCATCCAGCTCCCTGTGATAATCAACATTTTAATCTCCCGCATAATTCCCCGCGGGAATTTGACCTTTCCGAGGGAAAAATGGGATGGAAAGTGAAAACCAGCAACACCTCACTAGAGATCGGGGCGATCCCACTCTTTTCCACGCTGATCCCACCTCTCCTGGTGTCCTTTTTTCCTCCCAGGATTGGATCCTGCACCAGAACAACCCCGCCCACCTCGAGAGCTGCCGCAAGCTGCGCCAACAGTAAGGGATCTGCTGGGAATCTTGGAATGCTGGGAGGGAGATTGATCCTCCATAGTGGGAGATTTGGGCCTCGGACACTGCCAGGGATCCGGGGCAATCTGGSAATTCCAGCCCAGCCCCTCGCCACCCTCCCAGGCAGGAATTCCTTGCCAAGATCCCAGCCCAAGCTCCCCTTTCCCAGTGGGATCCATTCCCTGKGTCCTGTCCCTGCAGCCCTTGGCCCCAGTCCCTCTCCAGCTCTCCTGGAGCCCCAAAAGCGGCCCCAAAAGGGGCTCTGAGCTCTCCCTGTGTCCTTCCCTTCTCCAGGGGAACATTCCCAGCTCTTCCAGAATCCTGGAATGGTTTGGGTTGGGAAGGACCTTAAATCCCATCCCATTCCCACTATCCCCAGCTATTGGTGGCTCCAATTCCCATCCAGCCTTGGACACTTCCGCCCTTCTCTGGGAATTCCCATTTTTGGTGTTCCAAGCAGTCCCTGTGCCACATCTGGGGTTGCCCTCTTGGGTTTTTTGGTACCTGGGCACAAATTCCATCGGCTTCAGCCCATTGGGATAAAAATGAATCAACRTCTGGTGTTTCAGGAGGGCAGAAAAACCAGGGAAAATTCCATTTTCAWAAAAGCCATTCAGTGACTTTCGCACTGACATTTGTCCCTTGTCATTGGCAGATACCCCGAGTGGAATCCTGAGGCTCACTCATCCAACAGGTACTGGCCTTTTCCATTTCCTTATTAATTACCCCCTAATCAATTATTTTCAACAATTAATTTCCCTGATTTGCCCCCTCCATCCCCTGTCAATGACATCATAATTTCCTTGTAAAAATCTGTGGGATTTTTTTGTGTGGGTTTTGTTCCGAATTCCGTAGGATCCTAGGCTGCTTTGGGTTGGAGAGATCTTAAATCCCATCTTGTTCCACAAATTTTTATCCAGTCAGTCTCTCCTGGTTTGTAGGGTTGGACCCAAGGAGTGTTGACTCCTATTTCACAGCTCCCAAAGGTTACTTGGGCAACACCACCACAAGCTGGGAAAGCCTGGAATACATGAATTCCCATCCTTTAAATTTCCCTCTTTTCCATTTCTGATTAATTCTTTTTAATAAATCACCTGCAGTGCATTAATTATTAGTCCCACTAGGATTGGATTGTTTTTCTTCTCCAGTATTGGTTCACGTTTTGACTTGTGCACAAACAGGGCTGCAATTGCTGGGTTTTCCTGGGATTTTTCCATGAATGGGTTGAGCAGATTTCCTGGGAAGCTGAATCCCGTGGCTGGGTTCCTTTGGGGGAGTTACTGAGGCCTTTTTTGGATTATAAACAAGTGAAAAAATAATTTTAAAGAAAGAAATAAAACACATGAAGTACTGAAACTTCCATGAGGAGAACAATCATGGAATGGGTTGGGATGGGAGAAACCTTGAAGATGATGCAGTTCCTTAGGGAATTTCTGCTATCCCAGGGCATTCCCAGCCCCAATGTCCAGCCTGGTCTTGGACACTGCCAGGGATCTGGGGGCAACCCTAACTGCTCTGGCAATTCCAGCCAGGAATTCCTTGCCAAGATCCCATCTAAATCTCCACTTTTCCAATCTGAAGCCTTCTCTGAGTCCTGTCCCTGCAGTCCTTGGCCCCAGTCCCTCCAGCTCTCCTGGAGCCCCAAAAGCGGCCCCAAAAGGGGCTCTGAGCTCTCCCTGTGCCCTTCCCTTCTCCAGGCTGGACAATCCCAGCTCTCCCAGAATCCTCCAGAATCCTGGAATGGTTTGGGTTGGGATTGACCTTAAATCGCATCCCATTCCCACCCCATCCATGTTCAGGGGTGTTCCAGGCTGCTCCAATTCCTATTCAGCCTCACCTTGAGCACTCCCAGTGATCATGGGGCATCCACAGCTTCTCTGACAATTCCAGCCCGGCCTCTCCCAGCCAGAAATCATTTCCCAGCGCTTCCCCCTTTTCCCACCAACCCAAACTCCCATATTTTCCCCCTCAGAAATGCCGGTGACAGGAAGGAGAACCGGACCCCCAAGCACCGCTCCAGCTCGTCCAGCCCCAGCCGGCGGCACTCGCGGCCGGGAAGCTCCAGCTACGCCCTGCGCCGTTACCGCTCCCGATCCCGCAGCCCCGGCAGATTCCGGAGACCCCGCAGCCGCAGCCCCCGGCACATCCGAAGGCTCAGCCCCAGACACAGATCCAGGCACAGATCCAGRTCTCCTCAACGCTCCAGGAATCTCTTGAGACCCAGCCCCAGACCGCGGAGATCGTCCAGCACCGACCGCTCGTCGCGGAGGTCCAGCCGCTCTGAAGGTGATTTTGAAAGCCAAAGCAAAATTTCCCGTTTTTTTTTTTGAAATTTTGGGATTCCCAAAAGYTTTTCGTGCTCAAGTGTCACCCAGGCACTGTTGTTTTTGTGCTTCCAGGGGTTTTAGGAGGTTGTGAAGTGCCGTGGGATAGAAATCCAGGTGGGAAGTTGCGAAGGGCACAGGCAGATTCCCAGGAGATTTTTTTGAGGATAAATTAAACGTGGAGAAGGAGGATGGGGAATGAGCAATCAATAACCAGATTATGGATTCTCCACAGCCAGCCAGCAGCCAGGAAATTAATTAAGGAATAATTAAAAGCAGCACAGAGCGAGCCAAGGAAGGCAGGATTTAGCAGAAGGCTCCRAGATTAGTAAGTACTGCTGGGCATCAGTGTGAGAGAGAGAGGAGCAGAATCCCAAAAAAATTCCCTTTTTTTCCATTCCCTGCCACAGAAAATGAGGCAAAATTTTGCTTTTCTTACATTCCARCCCTTGGGATTTTTGTGGCTGTCATTGGAGTGCCACAGTGGGTTTATGGATATTTATCAGAAAGGTTCTTTGAGTTCAGGGAGGCTCAGGAGCGGGTGGCAAAGCCAAAACCACAGGAATTTAAAAAAGGGCAAAATCCATGAATTTCAAGCAGGAAAAATCCAAATGATTCTCATTTGATTTATTCTCTCCCACTCCTAGACAGGAAGGCAGCGCTGGARGCCGTGATGAAAACTTTAGGGCCAGGATTCCTGGCTGAATTCAAGAAGCACAAATCCCTCCAGGTGGCCGTGCAGGAATCCCTGGCCTCGGGAAGAGCCTCCTCCACCCATGGAACACCGGGCAGGACAACCGGGACCACCAAAAAAACCCTCAAGAGCAGCAGCAGCGCTCCCAAAACTTCCCGAAAAGAYGGATCTGCCACGCCGGGGCCGAGTTCTTCCACGGAAGGAGATRGTTCTGTCCAGAGCAAAGAGCTGGAAGAGAACAAGGAGGAGAAATCCACGGGCAGCAGCAAAACTCATTCTTCTTCCTACAACAGGGTGAGTTCTGGGAAGTTTTCCTTGGATTTGTAAGGTTTTGGGTTGGGATTTGCTTTTCATGCAGGAATTCCTGCCAGGTGAGGGTGGGGATTGTGGAATTAATGGGATGGAGTTGGGAGAAAGCTGAAATAAAGATAATTTATTCCACTGTCCCAGGTTGCTCCAAGCCCCATCCAGCTTTTTCTTGGATGTTTCCAGGGATAAAAAGGAAAGTGGAAGAGTAAAAAAACAGGATTGTGGCGCTGTCCTAAAGTTGGGAATTGTTTCTTTCCCTGTTTTTTGCAGCTGCTGAGGGAGGACCTGCTGAGCTGCGGGACTGTCCTGCAGATCTCGGATTTGCCRGATGACGGATTTTCCGATCAGGATATCAAAAAAATCGTCCAACCCTTTGGAAAAGTCAGCGACCTCATCGTGCTGCGCTCCAGGAACGAGGTGAGGCTCAAATAGGGAAAAGTGGGAAATCGGGAACCTGAGCTCAGCAGGGCATAAAGCTTCCCAAAGATCCCATCTCGGAACAGCTGGAAATAGGAAATTTGTATTGATTCAGACTCAAAATTCTGTGATTTTGTGTATGGATAGATCCACATTTTTTAGTTTTTTCCCAGGTTTTTTTCCAGTCTTTTTCCC